GGGCAGGGCTGTGGGGTGGGATCGAGTGGCATGGGCAGGGCTCATATAGAGCCCCCAGAGCTCATATAGAGCTCATATAGAGCCAGGGATCGAGTGGGGTGAGCAAGGCTGTGAGATGGGATCAAGTGGGGTGGGCAAGGGGCTCAGCAGCAGGGATCGAGCGGGGTGGGCAGGGCTGTGGGGTGGGATCGAGTGGGGTGGACAAGGAGCTCAGTAGCAGGGATCGAGAGGGGTGGGCAGGGCTGTGGGATGGGATGGGATGGGGTGGGATCGAGTGGGGTGGACAAGGAGCTCAGTAGCAGGGATCGAGAGGGGTGGGCAGGGCTGTGGGATGGGATGGGATGGGATCGAGTGGGGTGGACAAGGAGCTCAGTAGCAGGGATCAAGAGGGGTGGGCAGGGCTGTGGGATGGGATGGGATCGAGTGGGGTGGGCAAGGCTGTGGGATGCGATCAAGTGGGATGGGATCAAGTGGGGTCAGCCAGGGGCTCAGCAGCAGGGATTGAGTGGGGAGGGCAGGGCTGTGGGGTGGGATCGAGTGGGGTGGGCAAGGCTGTGGGATGCGATCAAGTGGGATGGGATCAAGTGGGGTCAGCCAGGGGCTCAGCAGCAGGGATTGAGTGGGGAGGGCAGGGCTGTGGGGTGGGATCAAGTGGGGTGGGCAAGGGCCTCGGTAGCAGGGATCGAGTGGGGTGGGCAGGGCTGTGGGGTGGAGTGAGATCAAGTGGGGTGAGCAAGGCTGTGGTTGGGATCAAGCGAGGTGGGCAGGGGCTCAGTAGCAGGGATCGAGTGGGGTGGTCAGGGCTGTGGGATGGGATCGAGCAGGGTGAGCAGGGGCTGTAGGAATGGGTGTTGAGTGGGTGGGCAAGGGTCTGCCCTGGGACCATGTGGGGTGGGCAGGGCTGTGGGACAGGATCAAGCGGGGTGGTCAGGCTCATGCAGTGGGACCGAGTGGGGTGGCAGGGGCTGTGCAGCGGGGATGGAGTGGGGTGAGGTGGGGTGGGCTGTGCCGTGAGGGGACGGGAAGCGAGGCCTGACCTGGCAGGGTACATGCAGGCAGGGACGGAGCCCACACTGGGGCAGGGGATGTCGGCAGGACCGGTTGTGTCCCACCACTGATGGGCTCCCAGAAAGCTGAAACAGGGCACTGTGCCTTTGGTCCAGGTGTGCCAAGAGGAGGAGGGTCCTTGAGGAAAAATACTCTCTGCCCCCTCACGTCAGGTAAAGATCTGATCCACCCATCCTTGTGTCTCCTGTGCTGCTGCGTGCAGCCCAAGGGAGTTTGGCTGCGAACTGCCCGCACTCCTTAACCGCTGTGTCGGGCAACTGCCAAGGAGATGGGCAGCTGCAGGCAGCACTGTGGCATACCTTGTCACAGCCCCAGTGAGAGCATGGGCTAACGAATACCTCCCGTGCTGAATCATTACTGTTTGCATTGATGAGTAGTGTAAGAGACGTTTCTGGAGGATTGAAGGGTTGGTTACAAACCCAAATCCTCCTAGTGTAGACATGTTTCCTGGCCCTGAGTATCAATTCCCAAGATCTGGAGTACATCTTTTGGTATTGTAAAATGTTATCGTATCCAAATGCAATATTTCACTCTTGAATTGTGTGACGTGATAATGACTATGTAAATTATGATAAATCATGTTTGGCACCTGTTTTATAGGTATATGCTTAATGCATACGATAGCTGAGATAAGCTTTAGGAATAGCTGTCTTGCTTTAGCCCTTTTCAGGACATCTTGTATGTATTCAGATGGCCACAATGAAACAAGAGGCTGGTTCTTCCTGCAGAGAAAATGACAAGACATCTACCATGATTAGGGTGAAGATACTTCGCTGTTACTCACTCTTACTGTGTATCACTGATGTATGATGCTAAAGCTGTTTCACTTGAATACATGGAAATCAGACTTGCGCAAGGAAGGCCAAAGTGAAATGAAAGAGACAGTGCTCATCTCAAGCTTTATTCACAGTTCTGAAACCAGAGAATAAGTCAGAAGTGTGATGGTCATTAGGATCTTGCTCCTTTTCAATGTGAAGATCATGCAAACATTAATGAGAACTAACGGTTTAAAGAATCCAGTGTTCTCTCTTTTAAGAGAAACAAATGAAGACAAGGAATCACATTAAAAGACTGTATTTCTCAATGCATTCTTCTGTTTAGAAAAATTACTGTCTGCCTTTTTGTTTTTCTTTTTTAAAGATCACTCCTGAGAAAAATGACAGCTGGCTCTGTCTCAGTTCCTCAGGTCATACCACTTCGAATTCCTCTTCCAGGGAAGGCTAAACATGAAATCGACACAAATACTCTCATAGAAATAAAATCAGGTATGAATAAGAGCTTTAACTCTATGTAAAACCTTTTCTTATGTGTTCATTTGAAACTTTTAGCCTCTATACTTTTGTTTGCCTTTAATTATGATTTTTATGAGTGCCCACTTCCTTAAGGAACTTATAAAATTAACCAACAAGTTTTGATACACCAAATATACTTGCACTTAATTTTATGCATTCAAACAATATCACTGACATAAGTTATGTCATATATGTTAGCAGTCTTAATTGCTTCCAAGATCAAGCTCTTAAGCTGTTGCATTTCGCTTTGACTGCAAAACCAGTGCTTGAAAGTATCATGTGCCAGGCTCACCCCAAAGGTTTTCCTTACAATTTTTGAAATGCCGCCTTTCACCATGGGAGAAAATATTTTTCCTGTCACTAGAACAGACAAGCTGCTGCAATGTTTTCATACAAAACCATTGCACAGCTACTTTATGATGAGAAATACTGCTTATAATGAAATTACGTTTGTTGAGTAACTAAGTTTTCATGGGAGAAACAGCTTTGGTCCCAAACATTCAATCATTTATGGAACTGCTTTATTTTGTTTATGTGAGAAAAATCAAGCACAGTAGTGAGTACTTTGAAGCTTAGAGCTTGTTTTTCACAGATTGAATACAGTTTGTTTAATTACTTTCTCTGTGTCTTTCAGATACACCTGAGGCCTCCATTTATTACACTTTAGATGGAAGTAAACCAGAACTGATTAGGAAACCAGGCTATGGAGAGCATAACACTTTTAAGTATAAGGGTCCTATCGTATTACCAGTTGGGAAAATAATGGTCAAGGCACTGGCAGTTACAAAGTAAGTATCCTGTTTTATTTTAGTCGTATTTTGACAAGGGAGAGATATCACAGTCATGGCTTGGAGCCATGCTGTTTAAAGCACTCCATACCTCGCAAATGAGAGATGCCCCTTTCCCCAGCCAGTTTGCAATCCAAGTGATCTTCATGGGTTGCATTGACCTCACTTTCTCCTAACACTTTTTATCCATTAAGTGTCTGCACGGATGGATTCTCTCTCGGATGTTTATCTCCTGGGCTGTGGATGTAGGCCAATGGTCTGTAGAGGCTGTGGGTGAGAAAATAACGTACTATACTTAGAGCTCATCCCTTTGACTGTGATCATGAAAAATGCCAGAGGAACTGTATGGTGTTTTCTGGGGTCACCCCGTGATTCAGCAGATTTATAGAAGTTGGTCTTCCCAGGAATCTGCTTCATTTCTCCTGAAGGAGCACAGAATGCTAAACCTCACAGCTTAAATACAACGTTAGTACAAGGGTAAAGTAAAAATACTATACACAGAAAGAAAACTGGATTTTGCTGCACAGCCACTGAGTTTCTCCAAACTAACTTCATGCTTAGAGACAGAGAGAGGACACGTGCATTCTCTGTCTGTACCCTATTGTATTGTCTTTTATTTCCAAGGGAGCAGAAGCTTCTACTCCAGTTTGGGATTTGTGCTTGCTGTTCCCTGCTATTAGCACCCGCAGGTAGCCTTTGCTTGTGTCTGCACTGGAATATAACAACAGAAACCTAGGCCCATGTGTATTTTCTGATATCACTACCTGGATTAACGCTTGTTCCCAGTGTGTTTTTATTAAGACATTTTCAGGTGGGCTAAATAGATGCTCTAGAATGACAATAAATCCTAAATGAATGGTTTGGTCATTTACAGCCATCTTAATGTTACTGCTGTAATTTAATAAATGGTAGAGCATGACAGTTGTTATGTCAACTGAATGGGATGCTACCTGCTGCTTGACTGGGAAAATGAATATGTTGTTATGAATGGAAGAAAAGTCTTGCTCTCCTCTATTTTCTGCGATGCTGGCAAACAGTAGTTACCCCAGAAAGCAGATACAGGAGTATCAAGAGTTTCACATGCAGAAGATGTTGAGGGATTAAGGTATTCATACATTTTATTAGTAACTTCTTAGTGTGCACATTTTAAACTGAAAATAAATTTAAAGAAGAACAAAACAAGGCAGTAGTTACTGGGAGTATTGCCCAGGATTATACTTATTAACTGAAATAATGACTCGCAAGCTTGGAAGAGATGTACCAGCAAACGAGCCATCTTCATCAGTGATTTACTTTTTGCTGCACGTGGGTTTGTGGCATGGATATAGCTTTATGAACATTGATTTTCAGGGACTCCAGGGAGAGTACAGTTGTAACAAAGGTATTTCTGGTAGAGTACAAGCAACCAAACATCCTCTTCTCTGTTGAAGACAATGACAAGAATTTCCTAAAAAACATCGCCACACAGGCAAGTTTTAGCAAATTTAACTCCTTGTCTGAATATAAAATGTTGTGTGTATGGTATTACGTAGAGATTAAAGCTTGATTGCCTATACTTTTTATATATTTTATTACCTCTGTTTGCTCATCTTTGCTGCCTCAGTCCTTTTTGTAATACTAACATTTCAAGGGGGCAATTTTTTTTCTTCTTCCCTGGTCTTTCATTACCAGTTCAGGTCAAATATTTTTAAAATACATTTATCATTTAAGATTTTCAAATGCTTGCACTGAAAATAAGCATCTACTTTTAAAATCATAACAAATCATGATAGCAAGACAGGATTAGAGCAAACCCAAATATTTCATTTGGAATTCAAATGGAATTACTTTTTAGGAGAGGGAAGGTGGGATGTTTACTACAAAACTAAAGAAGAATGCAGTGAATGTGGAAATCAAGCCTGCCTGGAGTGAAGCACCCCAAGATTTTCAAGGTATATTATTACTTCATCAGACTGAAATAGACTTCTGTCTTAGCTGAAAATAGGCAGTATAACGTTTTCCTCTTGTATCCTTGGTAAAATATGGGTAATTTCAAAACCATCTCAGAAGACAGAACATCCTCTGGGAATTCCAATTTCAATTGCTCAACACTGCAAATAGAGAACAAAAATTAACTTCCATACATATCACATTACCTCTTAAAACATACTAAAAAGTCATTAATTTCTGAGCAACATAACAAGGCCCAGTCTGTATTTCCCTTTGTGCCAGAAAATGCTGTTAAACTGATGGGATTGCAAATCCTTTACAGAGTTCTTTACTGATGTTTGCTTGCAGTAAGATTCCAAAATAAGTACACAAAGCAGAAATGAAAGCTTGACCCAGATTTTCTCTACAGATGAAGCCTGTTATTCCATGGTAACGGCAATGGGACTGTTTAAGAGCAGGGAATCGTATTAATGTTTACTCATTAATTTAGTCTTAGGAGCTGGGGTTTCTTTGAGCATGCAGGAAGGAAGAAAACCGTAAATAGAGAAAAATACAAAAGTAAGCTCTTTCAGAGAGGAATGAGGTTTCTTCTAGTTTAATTTCCTGTAATTCCATGCAGTTGATTTGAACCCAAAATCTGGATGTCAAATACATTTTTAAATATGCTTAGCTATTGGAATTTAAAATGCAAGTATGTAATATTCACATTATGATATGTGTTAACTGCATGAAGTCAATCACAGTGGAATAACAGGATTGCAATTTTAGACTTGGAAACAGAAAGGAAGACTGCTCACAGGTCCCTGCAAGGACCACAGCTCCTTGCCAGTCATTTGGAAACAACAGAGTACAGGGAGGGAACCATCTCAGCACCACCAATAGAGTCGTTACAGGTAAGCAAAGGGGTGTTGAGGAAAACTATAAAAGGCTGTTACCAGAACTGCACTCTAAAAAAAATAAAGATGAGAAGATTTGTGATCATTCTCATATAATCTCTCAGAAATTAATGCCTTTGGCTGTATTATATCGTACTAATTTTAATTTACTGGTAATGACACAGTGGAATAGGAATGCCCAAAGCAGTGCACAGTTATCAGTAAGGACAAAACCAGGCAAAGCGAATTAATGATGCCTGCATTTCTACTAATTCTCTTCTAGTACATTACTGAAGCTGCAAGTAGCAAATAATTATTGCTATAGGTTGGCAAGTTGATATTTAAAACTTAATATTCAGGAATGCTGTCTTGGAAGTAAGTAGCAAGACATTGATTTATTTTTATTGGAAGAATCTGTGGGTCCTTAATGTAGCTAATGGGGGAATCAAGTGTAGTAGGTGTTCCTTGAAGCAATGCATTTCAGTGCAGTTTGTCTCAAATAACATCTTTAGCTGATTTTGCTACTCTTATATGCATTTTGCAAGTATCCGCTTACTAAGGCTGAAGAATTACCTTTATTTCAGTTTGCTAGTTCTTCTGTGGTGACTAGCCGGAAAAGCTTAGCAAGCACACAGGTGGCAAGGATCCAGAGGGAAACAGATTTCCTCAAGTAAGTGACTTCTCCTTTTAACATATTTGTCCTTGGAAAGTAAATGAGCAATTGCCTTTTGCCATGAAGTTGATAATACTGTGGGGCTTTATAAAAACAAGGAAAGCAAAGACAGACACCGGCTCATAACTGGAGAATGTGATCTAGACAGGGCTTTGAAAATTCTTTCTCTTACATATAGTTTTATTTACATCTCACCATACACAGTTATCACCTATCTTATCATCCTTTAAAAAAAAATCCTTACACCTGTAGGATCAGAGGAAAAGCTGTCTTTTCAGATTACATTACAGCCGTCATTGCTGTAGGTGAAAACTGCTCACGGGAGTAGTCTCACAGAACATTAGTGCTTGTCAACATTGAAAAGGTTATGTGATCTACATCAGTGGTTCCCCATGTTGCAGCAGGGAGTCCTGATACAGATTGCGTGTCAGGAGACTTGTTTACCTCACATGGTGAGGAAGGAAGTATGAAACCCCATAGCAGCCAGAGAGCTTTCTACCTTGCAAAGCTGTTTAGAGTTCAGAACCTCACATCATGGACGCTGGGGCATGGTCTGGTGGACAACCATAGCTTGGAAACTACAGCTGAGAAACGAGTAGCCCAAGTCCTGTCACAACAGGTTCCAGATTAATCATTATTATGCAGCAGTACGTACCAAAACAAGCTCAGCCAGTTTGCTCTTATTTTCAGATGTGCACGCTGTTCTGCACCTCGCCTGTCTGACCCCTTGGCTCACTTCTGTCAGGAATGTGGATCTCCTATTCCACCTGTGCCAGTACGTCGCTTCCCACCCCCTGAAGGAGCGCAGGTCAGCAAAACATCATAACAACCAACAAATCCTCTTTGGAGAAACCAACTTCCTCAGCAAATTACACATTCAATGCTAGCAAAACCATTATTTAGCCACACTTCCATTTGGGAAGCTCTGTTGTGATTGTTTTATTTTGTTCAATACCTTTAGCAATGGACTCTATGTAATTCTTAAATGATGGGCAAAATTTACCATAGATTGCTTCAAGTGCCATATATTTTAATAAGGATAACAATGAAAAAGTAAATTGTGCTTTATTTACTTGTGCTAGGAAACATCACCAAATTCAGGTTTCTCCTCATCCTGCAACAACCACCACCAGATCTTCAGGACCTCCATATGTGTCTTATTCCAGTGCTAACTAGTGCAGTTTGTTAGTTAGTAACTAGTGCTTATGTCATAGCTGTAGAAGATCCATCTAATATGCCTGAAACCTTAAACGGTGTCATGTGTGGGCATATGTAAGACCACTGAGTTTTCACAGTGATGCCTGTAACTATCTTCTCTAAGCACTTCCCAAGAGATAATAACCTGATCTAACAAGGCAATGGTGTATTTTTTTTTCCTGTATTGTCAGAAAGTTGTCTTGTCTGGGGCGATGCAGTAGTTTCAAGTGACGAATGAGAATATTCAGCACCTCTTTAGATTAGGTTCATAATTAGGAGGATTTAAACTACCTGCGCACATTTTACAGTAGCATTTTAAATTTACTGAAAATTAACTTAGTACCCTTCTGGCATATTTTTAGCAGTCAGTAAAGCATTCTCTTTCCAGTTGTCTTCATATTTTCTCAATAGCCTTTGATCTTTCGGGATCAATATCAGCATCTGTTGCTGTCAGTTGCTATGTTTCCAGTGACTTTACTGCTGATGTAGACTCTAACCAGGAAAATATTGAATCTCATTATAACCTTAATGATCTCATTATGGTCCTTAACGTGATGTGATGTGGCTTTTTCTTCAGATGGCACCATGTCTTGAATGCGGACATCTTGTGCCAATGAATACACCCACTTGCATTGTATGTGAGTCGCCAATAGCTCCACAGCTGCAGCCCCAAACCAAGAACTGCGTAAAGGTACTTGAGAATAAATATAACAAAATAGCAATTTACCTCCTGGCATGCATTTTTCTAACAGATGACTTCATCACAAATATTTTGATCCGACTTGGGTTTGTGTAATGACATTATGACAGCTTTAAGAGTTAGTAGGATTAAAAACACCTTGAATAGAAATAAACATTAAAGGTAAACCACATAAGCTCAGGAAGGCATGCTGAAGAGCACATGATGTAGCAGTCTGAATTACAGAAATGCATGCACTTGTGTTCAGTAGAGAGATATTCTATGATTCTATAATTTATAGCCTTAGTATTACTAGGCATTTTAAGTTTATTAAATATGTCCTCATTACTCTGCTTACCTCATTTGATTCTAAGTGTTTAGTACAGATGAGCTGACAGGACTGGGGCAGCGGGTGTATGCCCAAAATGTTAGAGCACAGTCTTGATCAGTGATCCAAAAGTGCTGGTGGTCTTAACTAGACAAAATTTGTCCCACAAAAATACTCCCTACACAGGGGTACGGGGACCCAAGGAGGGGCCCTCCTCGATCCACCCAGTCAGGGGAAAGGGTGTGAGGAGGAGAGGACTGATACGGCATGTCTACAATTAGTTGCAGAGCTGGCATCAGCAACAGGGTTTTGGTTTTTGTGATAGCGGGAACCTGTTTGAGGCTCAACAGCTCCTTAGGAGAGACGGGATCCACCCGACAGGGCAAAGGTATCTTCGCCAGCAGGAGAGCTGGGCTAGTAAGAAGAGTTTTAAATGAGAAATTACAGGGGAGGGAAGGTTACCAGCAGCCCTGTGAGGGAGCGATGGACAGGACTGACAAGCAAAGGGTCTTGGGTGATGTGGACAAACGGGAACACTTAATCAACAGAACAGGGCTTAAGTGAGGTCGCCTCAAGGATTTGCATGTAAGCAAGGAAGTGCCTATACGGCAGTGTCGTGGTTTAACCCCAGCTGGCAACTAAGCACCACACAGCCACTCGCTCGCTCACTCCCCACCAGTGGGATGGGGGAGAGAATTGGAAGGGTGAAAGTCAGAAAACTCGTGGGTTGAGATAAGAACAGTTTAATAATTGAAGTAAAATGAAAGAGAATAGTAGTAGTAGTAGTAGTACTAATAATAATAATATAATAATACAATAATAATATACAAAGCAAGTGATACACAATACAATTGCTCACCACCTGCTGACCTAT